CGCCAAAGGAGACAGAAACTGGAATGTTACCAGCAGGCATCAGCCTCATGGTAATACACAGATTAATAAAAATGGGTTAATTTAAGGTGTAAAAGTTAGCTAAAAACACATCTGAATCATTGTCCCAGCAGTGTTGTGATTAAAAGAGTTTTGTGTGATTATTCAAATCTGGGTAGCTTGGAATGGAAGAACTGTCTCCAGTTACACGCAACCATGAAGTAATTTCTATGCTACTTCATAACTGCAATTTTAGTACAAATTGTGATGTAAACTCCTGTGTTTTATGACGGCAACTCCTATGAAAAGGGTCATCCAACTCCCAAATGGACTGCAACCCACAGATTGAGAACCACTGCCATAAATATGTTTTTCTACATTTACAACTGGTTGAGAGAGTATATGACATACAGATTTCTAAGATCAGTGTCCACAAGTTAATTTTATCCAAACACAACCTTTTATACAAATATCTATCATCTACGGGGGCTGGAGAGAAGGCTCAGAGGTTAAGAATACTTACCAGCTGCTCTGCCAGAGGACCCAGGGTTTGATCCCCAGCATCCACATGGCAGCTCATAACTACCTGTAACTTCAGTTCTGGAGGAGCCTACACCCTCATCTAGCCTCCATGGGCACCAGACACACGACACAGATGCAGACAAAGCATCTATTTTAAAATAAAATAATTTAAAAATGCAGTATTTACAACCACTTTCATGATAGGCTAGTCAAATTGAATGGCTTCAAGAAAGATCATTTGACCCACAAATCCAGTCATATTTGCTGTCTCGTCAATTATAGAAAATGTGCTGACATCTTGTTTAGGAGAACACTGGCCTCAAAGGCATGTTCGCCTGCAACAGTCCCCTTCAACTCTTTCCTGCCTCTAGAATAACAGCTCTTCACTCAGCAAATTCCACCTCTCTTCACTCCCACAGCCTCAGTCACACCTTTAAGAAGGTCATTGCGCTTATGTAGTATGACGACCTGACCCAAATCAGGCATCCAGGGAATCACAACTGTGGAAGAGACTGACTTTTCACCCTCTGGGTAGTTTCTAGGGAAAAAAAAAACAGGCTAATGATAGTTGACTTTGGAATCATGTAATTTGTCATTTGCCAATAATTGCTGTGACCTCTGCTGACATTTGATGACTATATTACACATATTTTAGATTCATTTAACTTAGGATATCTTCAATGAAATTCATGTTATCCATTCTCAATGGATAAAACTTGAGGACAAGAGCCTCAAGAGCAAGCAGAGACTAGCTTGTTAATTTTCAACACTAAGATTAAACTGATAGTTGTGTAAAATCATGTCTTCTACACTGAATATAACAAGAAAATAGACAGATGCTGGTGCTGAAAAAAAGAATAGGTTAGTCTGCCTATGTAGAAGTCTGAAGACATACCCTGATACTTTTTAAATTCAACTAAAAGTGGTGTTTATTGGAAGACTTTACACACCGAGCAATAGCCTAGATCTCTAGCTGACACAGGGATTAGTAATGTCCAGTTCCTGTTCTGGAAGGAGTCATAGTTTAGAAATTATATAAGGCGTAGAAAAATATGTGTGTACAAGAATAATTAACCAAGTTAGTTGCAAATCAAATAATTAGTGATGGATATTTCTTTCTAGTACATTTGTAGGTACTATGATTTTTCTTTTTTAATTGATTAATTAAAAACATTCCTTTCTCATTTTATATACCAATACTAGTTCCCACTCCCTATTCTCCACCTGTTCCCTCTATCTTGCCCCCATCCTCCTATCCACTCCTCAGAGAAGGTAAAGTTTCCCATGGGGAGTCCATAAAGTCTAGCACATCATTTTGAGGCATGACCAGGGCCCTCCCCACTATATCTTGGCTGAGCAAGGTATCCCTCCAAAGAGAATGAGCTTCAAAAAGCCAGTTCAAGAATTAGGGATAAATCCTGATCCCACTGCCAATGGCCTCACAGACTTCCCCAGCCATACAACTGTCATGTACATTTAGAGGACCTAGCTTGATCCTATGCTGGTTGCCCCACTGTTAGTCCAGAGTTAGTGAGCTCCCATTACCTAAGGCAAACTGTTTGAGTGGGCATCCCCATCATGGTCTTGACTCCTTTGCTCATATTATTGGTCCTCCCTCTATTCAACTGGACTTTGGGCTTCACTGTGGATCTCTACATCTGCTTCCATCAGTTGCTAGATAAAGATTCTATGATGACAATTAAGGTAGTTACCAATCTCATTACAGGAAAAGGTCAGTTAAGTCACCCTTTTCACTATTACTTAGGGTCTTAGCTAGGGTCATCCTTGTGGGTGCCTGGGAATTTCCCTAGTGCTGGATTTCTCCATTGCCCCATAATGGCTCCCTCAATCAAGATATCTCTTTCCTTGCTCTCCCACTCTGTTCTTTCCCCATCTTGACCATCCCATTCCCTCATGTTCTCCTCCCACCTCTCCTTCTCCTCTCCTCCTCCTACAGAACCTGGAAACAACCTAGATGATCCTGAACCGAAGAATGGATAAAGAAAATGTGGTACATTTACACAATGGAATACTACTCAATGGTAAAAAGAAAAATGACATCTTGAAATTTGCAGGCAAATGGATGGAACTGGAAAAAAAAAAAGCATCTTGCATGAGGTAGCACAGACCCAGAAAGACAAACACAGTATGTTCTCACTCATAAGTGGATATTAAATGTAAGGCAAAGGATGAGCCCAGAGAAGCTAGGTAACAAAGAGAACCCTCAGAGAAAATGCATGGATCTCCCTCAGAAGGGAAAAGATCTCCTGAGAAAATTGGGAGCATGGAGTTAGGGAGAGAAGAGAGGATGGAAGGTGATTTTTCTTTCTTTACCAATGTTTTCAATTTTCTAGTTTGGAGACTGAATTAATGGCTGGGTCAGTAAAATTATTAGCATACAATTATGAATATTTGAGCTCAGATTCAGCACCTAAGCCCCTCCCCAACAAAAAAAGACCAGGCATGGGCATAGGGTGCCTGTAATCCTAACATGGGGGAAGGGCAAGATTCCCCAGAGCTCACTGGCCAGACAGTATAGCTGACTTCAGTGAGACCCCGTCTCAAAAGATGCAAAGTCATCAAAGAAGATGCCTGACATTGATCTCTAGCTTCTCACAAGCAAATACACACACCTTTGTGAGCAAGCACACACAACTTTTGTGTCTTCTATTTTTTATATAATGTTAATAATAACAAAGTGGTTTGAAATATTATAAAATGTTATGGTTGACAAAACTATATAATCAGAATAGGTAGATAGTTCAGTCAGTAGCATGCTTACCTCAAAAGCAACAAGACAAGAGTTTGATCTCTAGAGTCAATGAAAAATACTGGGGGTGATAGAGCATGCTGCTAACCCCGAAGTTAATTGTGAAAAATAGTAGTTCACTAGAGAGATACTGCTAAAAGGTAATCCAAGTGAAAAAAAAAAGATGAAATAATAATATATGTTGAAGTAATTAACACCAGAGGGACATAAAAGTAAATATATATGTATAGAAACAATGGGATTTAAAAAAAGCCACAGGCACGATCAGGAGGAACCTAAAAAAAACATGTTTCTTCTTGCTATGTTTATATGGTAGTTAGACAAAGAGATGGAAAGAGGAGCCTCTCTAGGCAAATACTGGCTCCCAAGAGCTAATAAAATCCTAGACGTCACCTTGGCTGGAATCTCTTACATTAGACTAGTTTAAAGTGGGTGCATCTGACTATGTAATATTTCAGGTTTCTTCTGAACATCAAATTCCATGATTACTTTACATTTGGATTCTCATGTCATTCCATTCAACTTTTATTAAAGTATACATCATTATATACAACATTACACAGTTGGGTGTACACATACATACACAAACACACACACACACACACACACAATTTTATTTTTTTTAAAAAAAGCCTTTCTGCAAAGTGTCCTAAAGAGTTCGACAGGTGGGGCTGGTACTAGCCCAGATTTGGGAACTACTATTGCAATCTCCAGTTCACATGTAAGGAAGTAAGAAGATAAACACCTAGGAGGTGGAGATGGAGAAGGAGCTGGACTTGTTTAGGAGTGAACTAGGACATCTCAAAGGAAGCAGCTCCTCCCTAGGATGGACCGTCATTGTCCCTATATAAAGGCCAGTGTTTCCAATGAGCAGCACCCTGCAAGCAACATCAGTCTCCATCCTGCTGTTCCGCTGGTGACTCAGGTAAGTGGACAGCCATTCAGTTCTACTGACGATAAATACTATTAAATACTATAGTCCAATTTTATAGTCTTATATATTATATAGTCTATTAAATCCTAAAGTCCACATTATATTCAAAAGCTTACGTTTTAGTATATTATGATAGACTTTTATATAAAACTACTCTGTTTATAGTACCTACTTGAGATCTTTCCTTGAGAGTTTAGGAGCCTAGTAAGCCCTTGGCAGCTTGTCTCTTTTTTCTCTCTGCTGTATAAGCAGAAAGCCCTGAGAAACAGTCCTACTTGAAGAATGAAAATAGAAGCTGTCTGATAGGAGCTCCCTCAGCTCCTATCACCTAACCCTGCAGTTGGCTCTGCTCATTTTTTCTACTTTCTTTATCCTGGAAACTGAAAATCCAAGTTAGCCACCTGGGCTCTTTGGGTAGATTTAGGCACAGAATATAAGTAACATGTCTTTCCCCTGTACTGTGATGGTTGAAACCTAAAAAGAACTAAGGCATGGATGGATTAGCACATTCAGGTTTTCTATAACCCAACAAGGAAAGCCTCCCCTACAACCATTCAGGAACTGAAATAAGACATAGGGCACCTGCTCTAATTTCATCACTCTCTTGCTACATAGCTGGAACAAGTTATTCGACTTTGAATTCATTCTTAACTAGTATAGAAAGAAAATTAATCATGGCTGATAATTATCACAAATGACTAGAAGTAGTTATGTGTTTAAGCACTAAGAGATCAATCTCTTCTTTCCCAATCTAGCTTCACTTGAATTTGCAACAAGATGCCTAAACTCCTGCAAGGTATTGTCACTGTCATCGAAGTTTTCTACCAATACGCCACTGAGTATGGGAAATGTGACATGCTGAGCCCAAAAGAGATGAAAGAACTTCTAGAAAATGAGTTTCGCCAAATTCTAAAGGTAAAAACTCTACATCAGTGCTAAGAACTGAAGAAATTCTCTAGTTTACCCTACCTTTTGTTTATATGTCAAATACCAGAGAAGACTCTCCTATTTGGTAGTAGAGAACTAAATTTGGCAGACTTTAATGTCATAAACAACTGACTAATAATGTTTCTATAACATGATTATGTTAAAATGATTCTATCAAACAACAGGCAAATTCATATACTTAAAAATTTCTTGTCTGTGAGAGCAATTCTTATGAACCACAGAAAATATGCAAAATAGATTGAATTCATATTCTTACATTTTGTTTTCTTAGTTCAAGAAAATGGCCTTGAACTCCAGATGTTAGTGCCTCTACCTACAGAGTGATGAGATACAGGGCATGTATCATAATGTGCAGTATAACCATTGAAATCATTCTCTGCTTTAGACCCTTCATAATACAGAGCTATGTAGACAGCAGTAACACATACCCCGCCAAAATTGTTTTAAATCTGTAACTAGCAAATTAACTAAATGGACAAAAATTATATATAATCCATGCAGTTGTCTACAATTACTATTTCGACTTTAGCTAATGAGCCTTGATTAACTATTGCCTATTGCCCTTTTCTTCCTTCCTTCCTTCCTTTCTTTGTTTCTTCCTTCCTTTTTTTGACAAGGCTTTACTTTCTATCCAAGGAACTCAGGAACTTGTCATGCTACCCATGCTGTTTTCAAACTCAGGATCATACTTCCCTGGCCTCCAAAGCACTGTTAACGGTTATCAGCTACTATCTTTACAAAAAAAAAAAAAAAAAGACCACTTGCTTGCTTCAACCTTTCCATTGCATCCCCTCCTGGCTAATTGTTCTTGTCAATTTACTGCTTGACTATGTGCTGGCCCTCTCTCTCTCTCTCTCTCTCTCTCTCTCTCTCTCTCTCTCTCTCCTCATCATCATAGTCAAAAGAACTATGCAGTCAATTTAAATCTAATTTATTAAATATTGACAGCCTCGTCACAAGGGTTAGCTTGTTTTACAATCTATAGTTACAGAGCCTCCATTTGATTGAATTTCATTACAGAATCCAGATGATCCAGACACGGTAGAAATCATCATGCAAAGTCTGGATCGAGATCATAACAACAAAGTGGACTTTACTGAGTATCTTCTCATGATAGTCAAGCTATCTCAGGCTTGTAACAAAATTATTGGCAGAGATTACTGCCAAGCTTCAGGGTCAAAGCAAAGAAATCACAGTCACCAGCAACAAAAGGAACAGAGTGAAGAAGAAAACGACGACAAAGAGCAGGATGCCTCTTCAAGTTCTTCAAGTTTTAGTGCAGGAGAGAATGATGCTTATTCTAGGGATTCAAGAGGAAGAAATCAACACAAATCTGAGTCAAAATGTAGAAAACCAAGGAATGGGAACCAACAAGGTTCTGAAGAAAGAACAACTTCAAGTCACTTCAAAAACAGTGAGAAATATGAACAGGGACAACATGGATCAGAAACAACCCACATGCCTAGGGAGAGCAGAAGATGTAATTCAAAGGAATCTTCTGGCTACCTTCAACATGGCTCTGGCTCAGGACAGTCGGCTGGCAAGAGTAAAAAGGGTTCTGGCCAACACCAGCACTATGGTAATAAAAACCATGATATACAACCAAGAGAATCATCAGGTTGTGAAGGAGGGCAGTCATCAAGGTCCGGGACACAGAACTCAGGATCAAGCCAGTCATCTAGCCAGAAGAGAAATAACTTTGGGTCAGGAGAGTCTTCTAGTGTAGGTGAATATGGCGCTTCTTCTGGAGAGCAGTCAGGATTTATAGGAAATAGATCAGGACAAGGACAGTCTTCTGGAAGTACACATAATGGCACAACATCAAGACAGTCATCAAAGTGGAAGTCACCTTCCTCAGAAAAGCATGGATCAACGCAACGTAATTCATCAAGCCAAGAAAGGAACAGGTCTAGCTCAAGGGAGTCTTGTGGCTCCCAACAATCTGGGCCTGGCTCAGGAGGGTCTTCTGGCTTTAGTCAACATGGATCTGGGCAAGGTCAGTCTTCTGATGGTAGCCAACAGGGTTCCTTCTCTGGACATGGACAACATGGCTCAGGTTATACTCAGTCATCCAGCTATGGGACACACAACTCAGGGGCAAGTCAGTCTTCTAGCCACAGTACAAGTGGATCTAGGTCAGGACAGTCTTGTGGCTCAGGGAAATATGGTTCTGCATCTGGAAACTCTGCTGGCTCTGGTAGGCAAGGATCTGGACAAGGTCATTCTTCTCATAGTACACAGTGTGGAACATCATCAAGACAGTCATTGAGCCATGAAAGAAACAGATCTAGCTCAAGGGAGTCTTGTGGCTCCCAACAATCTGGGTCTGGCTCAGGAGGGTCTTCTGGCTTTAGTCAACATGCATCTGGCCAAGGTCAGTCTTCTGGTGGTAGCCAACAGGGTTCCTTCTCTGGACAGTCAGGAGGTAGTCATCAGCACAGCTCTTCCTGTGGTCATTCCACTAGCCATGGTCAGCATGGCACTGGCTCTGTTCAGTCTTCCAGCAGTGGGACACACAAGTCAGGTTCAAGTCAATCTTCTAGACAGAGCAGAAGTGGCTCTGGGTCTGGACAGTCTTCTCATTTAGGGGAATATGGTTCTACATCGGGACACTCTTCTGGCTCCACAGGGCAAGGATATGGGCAAGGACAGTCATCTGGTACTGGACAATGTGGTACTTCTTCAGGACATTCATCAAGCGGCAGCTCAGGTCAGTCCACTACCTATGGCAAGCATGGATCAGGAGTGAGCCAGTCTTCCAGAAACAGCAGTAGCAGATCAAGCTCTAGGGAGTCTTGCAGCTCCCAGAACTATGGGTCTGGCACAGGAGGGTCTTCTGGCTTTAGTCAACATGCATCTGGGCAAGGTCAGTCTTCTGGTGGTAGCCAACAGGGTTCCTTCTCTGGACATGGACAACATGGCTCTAGTTATGGTCAGTCATCCAGCTATGGGACACACAACTCAGGGGCAAGTCAGTCTTCTAGCCAGCGTACAAGTGGATCTAGGTCAGGACAGTCTTGTGGCTCAGGGAAATATGGTTCTGCATCTGGAAACTCTTCTGGCTCTGGTATGCAAGGATCTGGACAAGGTCATTCTTCTGGTAATACACAGCGTGGCACAACATCAAGACAGTCATCAAGCTTTGGCTCAGGTCAGTCCTCTCACTCTGGCAAGCATGGATCAACTTCACGTCATTCATCGAGCCAAGAAAGGAACAGGTCTAGCTCAAGGGAGTCTTGTGGCTCCCAACAATCTGGGTCTGGCTCAGGAGGGACTTCTGGCTTTAATCAACATGCATCTGGCCAAGGTCAGTCTTCTGGTGGTAGCCAACAGGGTTCCTTCTCTGGACAGTCAGGAGGTAGTCATCAGCACAGCTCTTCCTGTGGTCATTCCACTAGCTATGGTCAGCATGGCACTGGCTCTGGTCAGTCTTCCAGCAGTGGGACACACAAGTCAGGTTCAAGTCAGTCTTCTAGACAGAGAAGAAGGGGCTCTGGGTCTGGACAGTCTTCTCATTTAGGTGGATATGGTTCTACATCGGGACACTCTTCTGGCTCTACAGGACAAGGATATGGGCAAGGACAGTCATCTGGTACTGGACAATGTGGTTCTTCTTCAGGACATTCATCAAGCGGCAGCTCAGGTCAGTCCACTACCTATGGCAAGCATGGATCAGGAGTGAGCCAGTCTTCCAGAAACAGCAGAAGCAGGTCAAGCTCAAGGGAGTCTTGCAGCTCCCAGAACTATGGGTCTGGCACAGGAGGGTCTTCTGGCTTTAGTCAACATGCATCTGGGCAAAGTCAGTATTCTGGTGGTAGCCAACAGGGTTCCTCCTCTGGACAAACAGAAGGTAGTCATCAGCACAGCTCTTCCTGTGGTCATTCAACTAGCCATGGTCAGCATGGCACTGGCTCTGGTCAGTCTTCCAGCAGTGGGACACACAAGTCAGGTTCAAGTCAATCTTCTAGACAGAGCAGAAGTGGCTCTGGGTCTGGACAGTCTTCTCATTTAGGGCAATATGGTTCTACATCGGGACACTCTTCTGGCTCCACAGGGCAAGGATATGGGCAAGGACAGTCATCTGGTACTGGACAATGTGGTTCTTCTTCAGGACATTCATCAAGCGGCAGCTCAGGTCAGTCCACTACCTATGGCAAGCATGGATCAGGAGTGAGCCAGTCTTCCAGAAACAGCAGTAGCAGATCAAGCTCTAGGGAGTCTTGCAGCTCCCAGAACTATGGGTCTGGCACAGGAGGGTCTTCTGGCTTTAGTCAACATGCATCTGGGCAAGGTCAGTCTTCTGGTGGTAGCCAACAGGGTTCCTTCTCTGGACATGGACAACATGGCTCTGGTTATGGTCAGTCATCCAGCTATGGGACACACAACTCAGGGGCAAGTCAGTCTTCTAGCCAGCGTACAAGTGGATCTAGGTCAGGACAGTCTTGTGGCTCAGGGAAATATGGTTCTGCATCTGGAAACTCTTCTGGCTCTGGTATGCAAGGATCTGGACAAGGTCATTCTTCTGGTAATACACAGCATGGCACAACATCAAGACAGTCATCAAGCTTTGGCTCAGGTCAGTCCTCTCACTCTGGCAAGCATGGATCAACTTCACGTCATTCATCGAGCCAAGAAAGGAACAGGTCTAGCTCAAGGGAGTCTTGTGGCTCCCAACAATCTGGGTCTGGCTCAGGAGGGACTTCTGGCTTTAATCAACATGCATCTGGCCAAGGTCAGTCTTCTGGTGGTAGCCAAAAGGGTTCCTTCTCTGGACAGTCAGGAGGTAGTCATCAGCACAGCTCTTCCTGTGGTCATTCCACTAGCTATGGTCAGCATGGCACTGGCTCTGGTCAGTCTTCCAGCAGTGGGACACACAAGTCAGGTTCAAGTCAGTCTTCTAGACAGAGAAGAAGGGGCTCTGGGTCTGGACAGTCTTCTCATTTAGGTGGATATGGTTCTACATCGGGACACTCTTCTGGCTCCACAGGACAAGGATATGGGCAAGGACAGTCATCTGGTACTGGACAATGTGGTTCTTCTTCAGGACATTCATCAAGCGGCAGCTCAGGTCAGTCCACTACCTATGGCAAGCATGGATCAGGAGTGAGCCAGTCTTCCAGAAACAGCAGAAGCAGGTCAAGCTCAAGGGAGTCTTGCAGCTCCCAGAACTATGGGTCTGGCACAGGAGGGTCTTCTGGCTTTAGTCAACATGCATCTGGGCAAAGTCAGTATTCTGGTGGTAGCCAACAGGGTTCCTCCTCTGGACAATCAGGAGGTAGTCATCAGCACAGCTCTTCCTGTGGTCATTCAACTAGCCATGGTCAGCATGGCCCTGGCTCTGTTCAGTCTTCCAGCAGTGGGATACACAAGTCAGGTTCAAGTCAGTCTTCTAGACAGAGCAGAAGTGGCTCTGGGTCTGGACAGTCTTCTCATTTAGGTGAATATGGTTCTACATCGGGACACTCTTCTGGCTCCACAGGGCAAGGATGTGGGCAAGGACAGTCATCTGGTACTGGACAATGTGGTTCTTCTTCAGGACATTCATCAAGCGGCAGCTCAGGTCAGTCCACTACCTATGGCAAGCATGGATCAGGAGTGAGCCAGTCTTCCAGAAACAGCAGAAGCAGGTCAAGCTCAAGGGAGTCTTGCAGCTCCCAGAACTATGGGTCTGGCACAGGAGGGTCTTCTGGCTTTAGTCAACATGCATCTGGGCAAAGTCAGTATTCTGGTGGTAGCCAACAGGGTTCCTCCTCTGGACAAACAGAAGGTAGTCATCAGCACAGCTCTTCCTGTGGTCATTCAACTAGCCATGGTCAGCATGGCACTGGCTCTGGTCAGTCTTCCAGCAGTGGGACACACAAGTCAGGTTCAAGTCAATCTTCTAGACAGAGCAGAAGTGGCTCTGGGTCTGGACAGTCTTCTCATTTAGGGCAATATGGTTCTACATCGGGACACTCTTCTGGCTCCACAGGGCAAGGATATGGGCAAGGACAGTCATCTGGTACTGGACAATGTGGTTCTTCTTCAGGACATTCATCAAGCGGCAGCTCAGGTCAGTCCACTACCTATGGCAAGCATGGATCAGGAGTGAGCCAGTCTTCCAGAAACAGCAGTAGCAGATCAAGCTCTAGGGAGTCTTGCAGCTCCCAGAACTATGGGTCTGGCACAGGAGGGTCTTCTGGCTTTAGTCAACATGCATCTGGGCAAGGTCAGTCTTCTGGTGGTAGCCAACAGGGTTCCTTCTCTGGACATGGACAACATGGCTCTGGTTATGGTCAGTCATCCAGCTATGGGACACACAACTCAGGGGCAAGTCAGTCTTCTAGCCAGCGTACAAGAGGATCTAGGTCAGGACAGTCTTGTGGCTCAGGGAAATATGGTTCTGCATCTGGAAACTCTTCTGGCTCTGGTATGCAAGGATCTGGACAAGGTCATTCTTCTGGTAATACACAGCATGGCACAACATCAAGACAGTCATCAAGCTTTGGCTCAGGTCAGTCCTCTCTCTCTGGCAAGCATGGATCAACTTCACGTCATTCATCGAGCCAAGAAAGGAACAGGTCTAGCTCAAGGGAGTCTTGTGGCTCCCAACAATCTGGGTGTGGCTCAGGAGGGACTTCTGGCTTTAATCAACATGCATCTGGCCAAGGTCAGTCTTCTGATGGTAGCCAACAGGGTTGCTTCTCTGGACATGGACCACATGGCTCTGGTTACGGTCAGTCATCCAGCTATGGGACACACAACTCAGGGGCAAGTCAGTCTTCTAGCCAGAGTACAAGTGGATCTAGGTCAGGACAGTCTTGTGGTTCAGGGAAATATGGTTCTACATCGAGAAACTCTTCTGGCTCTGGTAGGCAAGGATCAGGACAAGGTCACTCTTCTGGTAGGATACAGCATGGCACAACATCAAGACAGTCATCAAGCTATGGCTCAGCTCAGTCCTCTCACTCTGGCAAGCATGGATCAACTTCACGTCATTCATCGAGCCAAGAAAGGAACAGGTCTAGCTCAAGGGAGTCTTGTGGCTCCCAACAATCTGGGTCTGGCTCAGGAGGGACTTCTGGCTTTAGTCAACATGCATCTGGGCAAAGTCAGTATTCTGGTCGTAGCCAACAGGGTACCTTCTCTGGACAATCAGGAGGTAGTCATCAGCACAGCTCTTCCTGTGGTCATTCAACTAGCCATGGTCAGCATGGCACTGGCTCTGGTCAGTCTTCCAGCTGTGGGACACACAAGTCAGGTTCAAGTCAGTCTTCTAGACAGAGCAGAAGTGGCTCTGGGTCTGGACAGTCTTCTCATTTAGGTGAATATGGTTCTACATCGGGACACTCTTCTGGCTCCACAGGGCAAGGATATGGGCAAGGACAGTCATCTGGTACTGGACAATGTGGTTCTTCTTCAGGACATTCATCAAGCGGCAGCTCAGGTCAGTCCACTACCTATGGCAAGCATGGATCAGGAGTGAGCCAGTCTTCCAGAAACAGCAATAGCAGGTCAAGCTCTAGGGAGTCTTGCAGCTCCCAGAACTATGGGTCTGGCACAGGAGGGTCTTCTGGCTTTAGTCAACATGCATCTGGGCAAGGTCAGTCTTCTGGTGGTAGCCAACAGGGTTCCTTCTCTGGACATGGACAACATGGCTCTGGTTATGGTCAGTCATCCAGCTATGGGACACACAACTCAGGGGCAAGTCAGTCTTCTAGCCAGCGTACAGGTGGATCTAGGTCAGGACAGTCTTGTGGCTCAGGGAAATATGGTTCTGCATCTGGAAACTCTTCTGGCTCTGGTATGCAAGGATCTGGACAAGGTCATTCTTCTGGTAATACACAGCGTGGCACAACATCAAGACAGTCATCAAGCTTTGGCTCAGGTCAGTCCTCTCTCTCTGGCAAGCATGGATCAACTTTACGTCATTCATCGAGCCAAGAAAGGAACAGGTCTAGCTCAAGGGAGTCTTGTGGCTCCCAACAATCTGGGTCTGGCTCAGGAGGGGCTTCTGGCTTTAATCAACATGCATCTGGCCAAGGTCAGTCTTCTGGTGGTAGCCAACAGGGTTCCTTCTCTGGACAGTCAGGAGGTAGTCATCAGCACAGCTCTTCCTATGGTCATTCAACTAGCCATGGTCAGCATGGCACTGGCTTTGCTCAGTCTTCCAGCAGTGGGACACACAAGTCAGGTTCAAGTCAGTCTTCTAGACAGAGCAGAAGTGGCTCTAGGTCAGGACCGTCTTCTCATTTAGGTGAATATGGTTCTACATCAGGACACTCTTCTGGCTCCACAGGACAAGGATATGGGCAAGGACAGTCATCTGGTACTGGACAATGTGGTTCTTCTTCAGGACATTCATCAAGCGGCAGCTCAGGTCAGTCCACTACCTATGGCAAGCATGGATCAGGAGTGAGCCAGTCTTCCAGAAACAGCAGAAGCAGGTCAAGCTCAAGGGAGTCTTGCAGCTCCCAGAACTATGGGTCTGGCTCAGGAGGGTCTTCTGGCTTTAGTCAACATGCATCTGGGCAAGGTCAGTCTTCTGGTGGTAGCCAACAGGGTTCCTTCTCTGGACATGGACAACATGGCTCTGGTTATGGTCAGTCATCCAGCTATGGGACACACAACTCAGGGGCAAGTCAGTCTTCTAGCCAGCGTACAAGTGGATCTAGGTCAGGACAGTCTTGTGGCTCAGGGAAATATGGTTCTGCATCTGGAAACTCTTCTGGCTCTGGTAGGCAAGGATCTGGACAAGGTCACTCTTCTCCTAGTACACAGAGTGGTACATCATCAAGACAGTCATCGAGCCATGAAAGGAACAGGTCTAGCTCAAGGGAGTCTTGTGGCTCCCAACAATCTGGGTCTGGCTCAGGAGGGTCTTCTGGCTTTAGTCAACATGCATCTGGGCATGGTCACTCTTCTCTTAGTGGGCAACAGCATTCCTCGTGTGGAGAGTCATGTGTCAGTGGTCAGCATGAATCTAGTACTTTTTCCTCATCTAGCAATGGGCAAAGTTGTTCACCATCCAGACAAATACCATTTTCCAGGCCTCCCCATTGTAGCTCAGGTCAGTCACCTAACTGTGATCAGCATGTTTCTACTTCCTGGCAGTCCTCTAGCTATGACCACCAAAGGCCTGGGTCATATCATTCTTCCTCCTGTAGTAGTCAGGGGAATACCTGTGGAGATTCTTCCAACTTTGGCCAGTATGGATCTGGCTCAGTTAATTGTTCTGGCTATGGTAATCAAATATCTAGTTCATGTCAGTCTACTTACCCCCACTATGGATCTAATATAAATCAATCTTCTAGCTACGGACAGTCATATTCTCATGGTCAGTGCAGATCTAATTCAAACCAATCTTCCTGCTGTGGTCAACAAGGGTCTGGTTCAAGTCAGTCTTCTAACTATGGCCAATATGAATGTCCCTCGAGTCATTATTCTAGCCAGAGAATACCTGCGGCTGGGTGTAATCAGGGTTTTAGCTCTGAACAATATGGGTCTTGTTCATATCCCTCTTCTATCTCTACTCAAAATTGTCCCAGATCTGGTCTGTGTCCTAGTTCACAACAATACAGGTCTGATTCACGTAACTCATTTAGCTCTGGATCATGTGGTTCTGGATATGACCAATATTCTAGTTATGAGCAACCTCAATCATATGGGAGATGTGGAAACCACTTGGAATGTGGAAACCCCTCAATTTGTAATGAAAACCAACCAATAAGTGTGTATAGGCAAGTAGAAACCTCCTCAGCTTGTGACTTTGGACAATTTACACCTCCACGTGGACACAGTAGATCCCATACTACTGGACAATTGTCACTTTACAATGCGGACAATAGACAAGGTGACCCTGACTATCAGAGCATCAGGGAAGGAAACTCTGGAATGAGAAATATAGGCTTGGGTTCTTACAGTTTCAATAGCAGCACTCCCCTTTATGAGTATGTCCAAGAGCAGAGACGTTAATTCCAGAGTGAGGAAGGAAATGAGCTACCATTAACTTAAATGTTAATTTAAGAAATGAGAAATTGTTGTAGAACTCTTCATGTCATTTCTTTCTCAATCTGGACATATCTGCTCTCATTCTTTTCTTTTAAATGAAAGGTAGCCTATATTCCTTGTTACTGAGTTCCTCCCAAATAATGCATGATATTTGGGATACTTAGGATATTGCACTGGATAAATGCTTAGTTTGGGGAATAAGTTTGAAGACTAACTTAAAAAGGTTGGGGCTTAGTGGGATTAAGTTTGGAACAATTTAAAGAATATGGGGTTTGGTTAAGGTATCTATCTGAAAATTATATTTAGTTGGGGGTGATGCTAAAGTTGTAATAAATTATACATTTATTGGTAAAGAACTATATATAATAAATGTATTATCATTGCAGTTGCCAAAGCTTTATCTTATGTCAACACACAGTTTAATCTTTAATGTTAGATGGTAAGAGAAAGAGGAAAAAACAGGACAGAGTATTAGTGGTTTCTATTTTTACCCAAATCACCAAGATACTTCTTTGGTACATTTTAAATCAGTAGGTGAATAAGTGCCATTAAGTTTTTGCTTCGGATGCTTCTCTATAGCCATTGGAAAAGTGGTACAGGACCAAAGGATCCAAGCATGGGTTTTAACTTGATTTCAGCAAGAAAGAGCTTCATTCCCATTTGTAAGAAATTGTTTCTGTTTCTTTTGACATCTTACAGTATGGAAATATAAGTAGTGTACTCTCCCCCTGTGTAGAGATATCATCAGTAGTCAGATGGGAAGGAAGCTTACCATTGTCATAGGATTCTTTGTTTGACTGTAATGTATTTGCTTTAAGTCTTTGGATTCAAATAAGTAGATTGCATTGATATTGACAATAAATTAGTGGTGATTAGATACTGAGCTTTGTCTGTCTTTTATTTCATTTCACTTCCTTCACACAAGTGTTCAAACTAGAAACCAGCACAAGTAGCTATTTCCCAAAGTCCCATAATCCGAAGACTATCCAGATAGAAAACTTAAAAGCTCCCAATACTCCCTTCCTCTATATTCTCCCTACCTGATCGTCCTGTTCCCATGCCCACTCCCATCCAGACCCCTCCCCCAATTCACCTATGATGTCTATTCTATTTCCCCTTCACAGTGAAATTCATGTGCACCCTCCCACCTTGAGCCTTCCTTGTTACTTAGCTTCTCTGGGGCTGTGAATTTTAGCATGGATTTCCTTTACTTTATAATTAATACCTACTTATGAGTTACCACATACCATACTTGCCTTTCTGGGTCTGGGTTACCTTACATAGGATGATCTTTTCTTGTGCTATCCATTTGCCTGAAAACCTCAGGATGTCATTGTTTTTAACAGCCGAGTAATACTCCATTGTGTAAATGTACCACACATTTTCTTTATCTATTTTTGGTTGATAGACATCTAGGTTGTTTCCGATCTCTGGTTATCATAAATAAAGTTGCTATGAGCATAGTCAGGGAGCATCTTTGGGATGAAGCAGAAACCTAGTGCAATGGAAACTCCAGGAATCTATGAGGGAGAGCTTAGCTAAGACTTCGAGTAATGGGGGATATGAAGCATGAACCGGCTGTCTCATGTAACCAGGCACAACTTCCATGGGTGGTACTGGGACTGTGACACAGCCACATAACCTCTGACCTCCAATTTACCCTCCTACAAGATGTGCTGGGGTAAGAGTGGTGCAGAAATTATGGGAGTAGCCAACTAATGACTGGTCCAGCTTGAGACTCATACCATGAGACAGAGTCCACCCCTGACACTGCCTGGAGGGACAGGACCCAGAGGCTGGACAGCCCAGAGACCTGGGAGAGAATCAAACGTGACTGGCAATAAAAGCAAAACAATGTCAATGAAATGATTCCTAAGGCTATTCTACTATACACTATACTCTTAGGTTGTTGTCTAGCTCAATTGTTATCAAAGAGGCTTCACCCAGTTTCTGATGGAAACAGGTGCAAAAACCCACAGCCAAACATTAGGAGGAATTCGGGGAATCCTGTGGAAGACTGGGTAAACAAAGGGTCAAGGACATCACAAGAAAACTGGAATCAACTAACCTGGGTGCATAGGGGCTCAAAGAGACTGAAAGGCCAGTCAGAGAGCTTGCATGGGTCTGACCTTCTTTACATATTGTAAGCTGGGTAGCTTGATCTTCTGGTGAGCCTCCTAATATTGGGAGCAGGGGGCTGTCTCAGACTCTGTTAACTGTTTTTGGGACCCTTCCCTCCTACTGGGTTGCCTTATCCAGCCTTAATAAGAAGGGATATGGAAAGAGGAAGGGGAAGGGAAAGGAAACGGGAAGGGGAAGGAAAAGAAGGGGAAAAGGTGGAAGGGAAGGGAAGAGAAGGGAAGGGAAGGGAAGGGAAGGGAAGGGAAGGGAAGGGAAGGGAAGGGAAGGGAAGGGAAGGGAAGGGAAGGGAAGGGAAAGATATAAAGCCCTCCAGGACCAGGTCATACTCCACATATTGTGCCCTGACCTAGCAATGATGAGTCCGCCTGACCCCCTTCTACCAAACCCTCCCCATACCCAGCCCAGATTTCACACCAAGTGTCCCAGACTAGTCTGGAGAGTCTTATACCATTCTCAATCCCCAGGCATGGCTCCAGTGGCAAACCTTATGTGCCAGGCCCAGGTGTTGAGTTCACCAGATTTTATCCTACACATGCTATATTGAACCTCCAGACTTAGCCTAGGTCACACATCCTGTATGCTAGTCCAGTCTAGCGAATCTCCTGGACTCTATCCCAGCCTGTACTGCATCCAACCTTCAGGCCTATCCTGGGATATGTATCTGTGTGCTGCCAAAGCCTGATGAGTACCTATAACCTCAGATGTTCACTTTATCCCCAGTCCTCAGGTCAATCATCAGTCACATAGTTAAAACCCTGGAAAATTGCATATCCAAACCTTCAGCTTAGTTCCACAGCCTCTACGCCAGCCTATGAAGCTGAATGCCGCCCACCCATAGAATCCACATATTCCCAGGTAAATCTTGAGTAGTACGGGTTGCACATCAATGAGATCCAGTCATCTGTCTCACTCACATATTTTCTTGTTTAATATAGAATTGGACTCAGTCTAAGAAAAAAAAATCAACACTGATCTGAAAACAACCAAGCTTGGACAAAAGCAAAATAAAACTAATCTCACATCAGACATACAACCAACAACATGCCAAATCTCATCACAAAAACACAAACAAGAAAGGCCAAGACAGTCTGCCTACAAATTGAAGATAAACAAGATCATCAGCACCTGGACTTAACTAAACAAATGAAAGAAAGAACCCAAATGAGTAGAATCAGCAATGATCAGACAAACATTACAACAGAAACCAAGTTCAGAACATTATAAAAGAAAATACTTCTTAAAAGTATTTTCTTTCTTGAGATTACAATACAATTACATCCCTCTTCCTTTTTCTCCCAGCTCCAACCCTCCCATATACCCCTCCTTGCTCTCTTTCAAATTCATGGCCTTCCCCCCATTAATTATTGTCACATATATGTATATTGTGTGTGTATGGACATACATGTATATATATATATATATATATATATTCCTAAATACATAAATAAAACTTTCTCAATGTGTAAGTGTTGCTTGTACATATATTTTCAGGCTGACCATTCAGCACTGCATAACGAATTGGTGTGATCTTCCCTGGGGACCACTATCTCTCCTGCTTGTAGCTCTCCTCAGTTTCCTGTAACTCTTTGTGTAAGACTGAGCTCAGCCTTGGGTCTTTCCCCTGTCCATATTTGCAAGTCTATTACTGCCCCTTTCAGCTCAGGTTTAAGCAGTCCTGCTGGAGAGTCGTTTTGAGTGTTCCTTCTGGCGTTGCTAGGAGACACGATGTCACCTCAAGCTTTTACAGTCCTTCTGTTCCCTCTTCCATGATGCTCCCTAAACCTTGGGTACAGAATTGCTTTGAAGATGGATCCATTGGGACTTGATAGGTTTTGGTTTCCATAATTGTCTCCATCTGTGGCACAAAACACTTTCCTTGCTGAGGGGGCAAGGGTTGTATTTACCTGCAGGCATGAGGATAAATATGATGTAGTTCAGAATGTTTTAGGAAAGCTGAGGTCGGAGGGTCTCCTCCAAATTCTCACTTTTTCTATGGGCTTCTGCTTCACTTGTCTAGAAGCTTGTTCTATGAGGTCCCACCTGTCAACTCTTGATTCCAATTCCTGTGCAAATGGGATCCTTTTCCGAAAGTCCTCCCCTACACCTCTATTGTGTGGGTACTGCCTAGTTTGGCTCCAGTAGCTTCAGCATTTCATGTTTAGGTCTTTGATTCTTCCTACTCAGCAGCGTATGGTCACATCTCTAAAATAAGATCATGTCTTCTGACATAAAACAAATTCTTACAAGTTCAAAAAGTTTGAAGTAGTTTTGCTCATCCTATCTGACCATAATATAATAAAATTTAAAATTGACAGCAAATAAGTTTCTTGTAAATACACAGATCCAAAGAGATTAAATAACTCATTGCTGAATGATGAATGGGTCAAAGAAGAAATTAAAGAAAGAAATAAAAATATTTGAGAACTAAATGAAAACGACAACACAACAAAACCTCTAGGATGCATTTAAATCAATCCTATCAGGTAAATTTATCACTTTAAATGTCTATATTAAAAATCAGAACGAGCATAAATTTAAAACTTAATGATGCAACTCAGATTTTGGAAAAAAGTAAGAACTAGCCAAATCCAACACCAGTTGATGGCAAAAAATAATAAAAATCAGAGCAGAAATTAATGAAATAGAAATGAAAAAAACACAAATAATCAACAAATGTAAGAGTTGGTTTTTTGAAAAAATAAATAAGATTTACAGACCCTGTCCCAACTAACCAAAAGAAAAAGAGGACCATCAAAAAAAAAAAAAACAAAAACAAAAAGCAAGACATCAATAACATAAACAGACACACAACAAATGAGGAC